CAAATGGCAATATACAAACATTTTACATGTAACCATATTGGATTATCTACACGTGTATGTAAATGTAATAACTATGTATAAAAACATCTGATAAGTACGTAGATCTTCACAAATCGCTTAGAAGAAATTTTAGGTTCGAAAAGAGATAAACTCAAAGATAAGTTGGCGTTATTAATTAAAATGACTTAGAGACCAACTAATCCGTCTTACCGTTTCAGTATTTAAACCACGTATTGGGATTTGATGCTGATTAATTGGATCAAAACCTGCTGGACTTCTGGACCCATTCGAACTTCAACTCCAGTTATTTTCTCCACTATTTCATCTAGAAATCTAAAAATCCCACAATCCTTAATTTAATTACTCTGTAAAATAATGTAAAATATAATAAATGTTTAATAAATAGTAAACAAAGTAACATATAATTTATTGCTTACCTATCCAGTTTTCTGTATGTTTTTCATTTTGGGGCCAAAAGTTTTACTTTCTGGATCCTATGATAAATGTGGCAACACAAAAGTGCTGAAGCTTGTAAAATGTATCTGATAAGAATAAAAATAAATTTAATTTGACTCGGCTGGAGCTTGATCAACTGAAATAGTGCGTATATGTATTTTCTTCTTCTCATTCAACTGTGGATCACTTAAGTTTAAAATGTTTGTAAAATTATTAGCTGTATATAAAGAACGTTTAAAATAGTTGTAACCCAGTTTTTAAACCATTAATAGTCATTCCACGAACACTAGTGGCTGCCATTATTTATTTCACCCCTTTGCTACACATAAGTAATGTCTTTGCGGGAAGTCACCCTCGACTGACTTTCGACCGCTTTTAACCTTACTCAAAAACTCCAATTACGACCTAATTAACAGCGCCTAATTACATCCTGCCACGCCCACTCTGCGCCCCAAGGAACGCCACCTATAACCTTAAACGCATTTCTCTTCTGCAGTTCACCAGAGTCATTGGAAAATTAAATGTAACGCGGATTCTTCGCTCCTTTATTTTTTATTTTCGCCAATTTGGCAAAGTCGAATGGAGGAAGCGGAACTACTCGAGGCTGGAAACAATTTATTGGAAATGCAATTGAAAATGCAGCAAGCGTGTCGAGGTCGATTCAGAAAAATGCCAGCCATCGAAACGTTTTGAACTTGCGGCAATAAATTCTTCGCTTTTTGGCAAGCTATAAAATATCCAAAAACGAATAAAAATCCTAATGAAGAGCCAGGGCGCAGACAGTCCAGAGCCTACAAATTGTATTATAAAGTTATACGCTCCTATTTTTTGTGCCCAGCACTCAAGGACTATTTTCGTTTTGTGGCTTCATATTCATTGGTAAATTACTCACGTACTTTTTGGGGGAGAAGTCTCAGACCAAATGGGTGTGGGCATAGTTGAGCCAAAGAGCCGGAAAAGTCGACTACTTTTGATCTTTAACTTCATTTGATACGCCCAAAAGTCCAGGGAGAACATTAAACTATCCCACAACTAAACGGACTAATTCCTGTTTTCAACTTATTTACTCTTTTACATGTCGATCTCGGGCGGACAAACAAGTTGTTCTAACCAAACCACCGGACTATCCATGACTGACTGGCTAACAAGTCGTTTAACGCCCACTCAGCTCCTGGTTCCTGGTCCCTCCGATCCCGATCCCGAACCCGATCCCAATCCCAATCCCGAGCCCCTAAACATATGCCACAAATAATTTGTTATTCAATACGAAACACGAAAAAGTACACAAAGCGGCAAACGAGCTTCAACAATTCAACACACACTGGACATTTAGTAAATTGGCTAACAACTTTTTGTTCGGCTTCGCTGTTGCCACTGTTGTCGTTGTTATTGTTGTTACGTGATTGTCCGGTGAGAGTGTATGAGTGTGTATCTGTGTGGGCACGGAACCCAGCATGTTGTACTGTGTTGTGTGCCATATGCTTGACCACAAGCAAACCAAACCAGACGAATGCCGACTGGGAGAGGCGGAGGGGGGGCACAACATCAAGCCGTCCAAAAAGGAAAAAGATTTCATGGGACAGATGACACGGCGGACTTTCGGGACAGGATGACTATCCGAATTGAGTCGGGGGATTAGGGTGCCGAAAGGGTTTGTCGCGGCCAATTAATCGTTACGACTTTCAGGTCCATTTCAGATTTTACGCCCAGAACTGTAAATGGGCACTTACAGCCCAAAATCTCTGGGGTTGGGTAAAGCTTTGTTATATTTAATGTGCCCAGAGCTTAGTAAATTAGTAAGTAACAATAAGGACTTAGCTTAAGCTTAAGTAACCATTAAATATTTTAATGACTTGCCCACTTATAGTAAAAGTAAGGTATCTGAGTATCTATAAATGATCAAAAAAAATATATATGTTTATATATATATATCGCCCATAGCGCTTAAACCCATTTTGAAAAAATTTAAATGAGATTTTGTTCTTATTATCAATACCTATCTACCTGCAAAAAATTATTCAAATCGGACCACTCATTAAAAAGTTATATCCGAACAATAACTTATAATAATCAAAGTCAATTGAGTGCGAGAGGGATGGAGGTTTCAAGTTATGGCGTCTTAGCGTGGCGTGTTAATGTGTTCGTGAAATATTTTAAGCAGCCGCTAGAAATCAACGAAAGGTGGCGCTTTTTTTTATTAGCTCAGTAACGGGTATTTGATAGTCGAGGCCGTCGTCTTGTTTTAAGTTTAACGGTCAAATATGCAATTAAAATTTTAAATTAAAACTAGCTAACCCAACACAGTTTAAAATTGCTATTGAAAACAAAAGAACCTTATGCTATAAGTTTCAATGTTGAGGTAGATTTTAAAATTGTTTACTGCTTCTAAACTTAGTGTCAATCAACGGACCCTTACCCAGACAATACGAACACCATTTTTTACTAGATGGTACTTAGGGTTATTTTATGTACGTCTGCAGCCCTCACCACCCTCACCTAGATTGTTTTCCTTAGTTTCACCCCTCAACTTCCTTTGTTGTTTACGCTATGGCCACTTGAGCTGCTTTTATTTTATTGAAGATTTGTATCAAAATGTCAACAGGAGCACAAGTCAACAACAACCAGAGGCACAGAACTGGGGGAAAAAATGCAGAAGTTGCTCTTTTGATGTGGGTTGTGTGTCTCAAGTTCCATTCTCACTCCATCTGCCACTGCGATGTTTTTGTGTTTTCGTAGCATTTGAGCAAATAAAATGTTTGCTTAAAAAATTGCAGACATGCATTGCCAGTTGCCCTGTCTCGTGTTTTCCTTTTAGGTTTTCTTTTTTTAGTTGTTCGCAGCTTAAGTTGAAAATGTTGAAATGCTCATTTCTATCAAGTTGGCCATTCCCCGTTTTCCGGAAATTTTTGGGTAGTCAAGAATTTACTGCAGTCACGACTTCAGCCTGACACAAATACATTTAAAAATGTGCTAACATATGTATGCTGCCCGCCAGAAGCTCACATATTTCTTCTTCATCCGATGCGTTGACAGAGCCCCCTAAAACCCCCTCAGAACACCCAAAACACGCATCCTATCCCCAATCCTGAAGCAGTGAGCAACTAACGACAGTTGGCATTTAAGTTCGGATAATGCGAACGGGGGGCGGATTTTGTGGGACCTTGCCCAGCTTATCAGAGAGTGTGTGAAGATAATCTGCTAAGCTATATACAACTCTGATTCGAGCTTAAAGTGACTTAGGGGTAAAAATAAGTTCACTGATTTGGTGGTTAGAAAAATACATTTAAGTATTCTTAATTACACGAGTCTATCTAAGGAGACATTACAGGTATCACTGCTTTTTTAGGGTTACTTTTATCCTAAAACAGTTATTTTGTTTTTTCAGAACTCTTTTAGGTGCTTTGTCTAAGGTAACGTATAAAAAGCGAGAGCATTCAGGTGCAATTTATAACTTTTTGCAACGAAATGATAGAATTCTTGAGTCAAATAACACTCAGCCAACAGAACCTGACTTCCTACTGATCCGATCCCCAGACAAGTAGAATGTGAAATATTTAATATACTTTCCCATGGTTCCCCTATTCCAAGCCCATTCAGCTTCATCCCCATCAACATCGAATCAACACAAGAACAAATTCAATTACTCAACACTGGAGCGACATGGGTGGGGCTGGGAATGGATCAGAAGGGGGTGGAGTGTGGCGTGTGAGTGACATTAATGCGATTCCAGCAACAGTCAATCATATTAGTATTTCCAAAGCAATTGCCAAAAATAATGTTCGACTCTTGTTTTTCTGGCACTTTATTTTTATTCGCCCGCTCTTTGATGAGCAACTCAATGCCGAATTTGCAATTTAATCGATTGCATCTAAAAATCTACAAATAAATTGGTGTAAATATTTGTGTTAGCTGTGAAGTTCCGGGAATATATTTTCGTCACAAATTCGAGAGATTTTGATAGACAGTTTTGGTAAAAAGTAAAGACAGACTTTAGTAATTAATACCAAAAGTTGACAAGCTTTCATTATTTTAAAATGGTTTAAATTTAAATTTTGAAAGAAGAATTTGGGAAGTGGTCTTCAAGAACAAACTAAAAAAATGTATAAGGCAGTCAGAGATATTTTAATATGTCCACATTTTTGGGAGCAGCGTTTTCCGAACTACAGCTGGCTGTCAATTACCTAACGAATAAATAACACCCTTGACACACTCATTAACACCCTATTCCCTATTCCTGAAAGAAATACAAACAGAATCGCTTTCAACATATTTCGAAACGAAATCGAATGTCGAACGTTTGTCGGACAGATTAAAAATACAATTTACGGCAAATCAATTGCGGCTAACATGGCAACAACGACGGCGGCGAGGCAAGGAAAAAAGGCGAAAATTAAAATGGCCACCGCAAGGAAAACAGTTGGAGCAAAAAATGAAAAGCAAACAATGGGTGGACCGAATTCCGGAAAATCGAAAAATGAAAGGCATCCCACCCAGGAAAAAAACAAGAAAGAAAAAGGACGACAACAATAAGGCGGGCGATAGCAACAGCTGTTGGCATAAATTTGTATAAATAATAAACAATTCACGGGGACATCTCCTGGACGATCTCCGGTTCCGGTGGCTGTTGATTCTCATCTTCCGGTTCTTCCCCGTCCACTTGATTTTCCTGCTGGCCAGGAGATTCATCCGGCACCTCCATCTGCGAGGCCTTCGAACGCAGCACTTGCATCTCAAAGGCGCGAACTGATAGCAAGCGCTCCTCACGAGTCAGTTGCGAAAAGTAGATGAAGCCCATCACGTAGGTGCGCACATCCTCAATGTAATCGAACAGGGGTCCGGTTCCCTGGGGAATGGGCAGTCCGGAAAGGACCTTAGCCACCGAAACCTTCATCTGGGCAGGACACACCACCTCAATCACAATGCCCAGCGATGCAATGGCACCCAAAATAGTGGTAAAAGTCATCAGCCCGTAAAGGCACCACATCCTTCCGTGGCACAGAATCATCACTGTCCTATGGGTAATCCTTTCGAATCCACACCACCCAATCAGTAGAATTATTTCGGTGAAGAAGATCGTTAATATAAGATCGCCGCAAGCCAAAATCCTTGGTGAATATTTCTTCAATTTCCTGGGAATCATATCAGAGTCCCAAAACAGCAGGAGAATGGCCATCAGAAATATACAGCTTCCAATTGGGGGGGCCGGCGAGCACTGATCCTTCGGCTGGGCCACAAAAAAGGATATGCCCAGCACTTGAAGCAGGCCAGTAGCCACAATCGTTGTCAAGCTCACCATCTTGGTTCTAAGGAAAAAAGAGTTTATTTAGTTGCTGGGAAATTTTCGTTTATGCTTATCGACTTCTAAATCTTTTGAACAGCTTACTTGGAATTTCTCCAACTGATAAACATATCAATTGGGTGTCAGTCTGCCGAACTGCTAAGTCAAATGAAAGCCAACTAAAGCCAGCTGCTGGCCGTTCTGCTTTTGCTTTTTTCCATCCCCTCTTCAGGATTTTCACTAAAATATTTTTACAGTTTCTGTAGATGCTGGCATATTCGAGCTTCCTTGGCCTTTAAACACGTCATAAGCTTTTGGGCTGCCATCCCGGCTCAGCTTGGCCTTAACATTTATTGCATACTTTTGAGGGCCATGCCTTATAAACCACATTCTGAAGTGGCGTAGGTGCAAGATACCCTTCCAGATTTGGCCAACTTGTTTTCAGCAGGCTTTCTGTGGCAGCTAATGAGTTATAATTATAATAAATTATAATTCATAGAATTTGTAATATAAAAATGTAGAATATTAAGAGATTTTCGCAGGGAAGCACATACATTTGGAATGGATTACATTTTTTTTAATTAATACATAAACTAAAAAATAATTTTACACACCAATATGATTTCTTATTAATATTGAATAAAATAGTTATTAAGTTCAAATTTATAAAATTGATTGCGAATACTTTTTAAGAGTACTTTAAATACTTTAAACTTGGGGCTTAGTTGTGTAAGCTCTTGAGCTTATATATTGAATACTTTCCTAACACTTGTTAATAAATATTTACAGTATATAAGGCAGAGTATTTGAAAAGGAGTACGTAAATAATAAAAATAGTCGCATTTCACTTGTGCTTGTATTTGCTCGTTGGCCTCTTAGGAATTTTTATTGGGCACTTTTCTGACATCTTTCTGGTTTCGGTTTGTGTGATTTTAACTGGCCCCATAAATAATTTGTAGCCCAAAAAAAAAAGAAGTTTTAGTGCACTCTTTGTAGCTAGCCCACAAACAAACAGACACTTAATATGCTATCAAACAATTTCATGGGCAGTATAAGGTCTTCCTGGCTTTGACATTTAAGCGTGACAAATTTGGGCTAAAGTCGAACACTTTAAATTATAATAACCCCAGGCCTAACCAGAGGTTTGTCAGCGGGAGGCGCCTTGAACAAACATCGGGCAAAGTCAATGACAAAACTTTTCGGTGCAGCAATAAAAATCAACATTATTATGCTAATTGGCTTGAGTTCGGTGGAGCAGAAGCAGGAGGACAAGCCCTCTGGCGTTTCGCGGATGGGTCAAGATTTTAATCTCTAAATTAGTTTACAAAATACGCAAGTATTTTCGCGGAATTTTTTAACCGAGTGCCTTAGGTCAGGTACGAACAATCAGGTTGGGAAAAAACGCCTAAAAGCATATTGCCCCTATTTGTTTTATAGAAAGAAGAGGGCAAAAGGTACACACAGTGGGTTCTTTTGTTAACTGCGTAAAGTTTTCACTTTTTTGTTTTACCTTCATTCTTTTTTTTTCAGCCAAAAAATAATAAGTAAACATTATTTATTTTAAAGGAAGCCGGTAGAGCCGTTGCATATCCCCGGGCGTTTCAAAGTGGAAACAATACCGGAACGAAGGAAGTTGGCTTGTCATGGTCGCGGGCGGGACGTCAAAGTAATTAAACAAAAGTAATTAAGATTAGCGGACTTGGAGTAGCTCCGAGTCATCAGCCAGGCTCTCACCTCGCAACCCGGCGCCATTATGCTCATTATCATTATCATAGTGAGCAGGGCAGAGCAGGCCGGGCACAAAAAGGTAAGGTTAATGTTAAAACGCAACAATATGAAAAACTCCCTGACAACTTTGACGTCATTATAGCTGGCCATCTCTCACGGGCTCTTTATACATATATATTAACGTGGGGACGCCTTACCCTTTGGCCTCTTATTCGGTGAGCTTCCAAGGACTCTTCCTCAGGGGTATTTGGCAAAATTATTATTGTTATGAAAAGTTTAGCCGAACAAAGCTAATGATCTTTAAAGATTAGTTTCGAGCAGAAACAGAACACTTGAAACTGGTCTCGGGCAATCAAACAGGGGTCACGACCCTTCCAGGAACAATCATCATCAGGCACTAAACTTAATCGACAGCTGACTTGCCATATTTCTCCCTCGACCTCTGAACCCTCAGTCGGCTCGCTTCATTAACTCCCACACACACTCGCCGCCCTCCCATATCAATCCAATCCTTCATTGGCTTAACTCCTGGCTATCATCAACTAAAAAGAAAATCCCTTCGACTCTGATTCTTTCGACTCGGACCGCTCGCAAAACTTTTGGCCAACAACTTTCGCAGATATTTGGCTGCTTAAATTATATTTCCCGCTGCCAAAGGTCGGGTTTAAGCGTTGATGGGCAACCCAGCCACGCACCGAACGAGATTTATTAGCATTCAAAGAGGCATTTTAGCCTGCCGCTTACCTCTTGTGTATGGGGTAATTTTTCACCAGACCAACTTTTGTTTTGATTAAATGAAGCTTAACGAGCGACCGCACAAGCAGCAAACAAGTGCACTGCGAAAAAAATGTACAGGGAGGTCCATCACATAAAAATGATGCTAAGCGAAACCTAACATAAAGTTAAATTGGTCCAAAAGAAAAATCGACTTTTTCAATGGGATGTTAACGACAAATCTTTATAAAGTCCGTTATCAAACAGTTCAGCATCAAAAAAATTACTTAAAAAATGGAGTAAGAGGATTTTTTTTGGCAGTTTCTTTTTGGCGAGCGATAAAAATTTAACCGGAGCATTTCCTCTTGCAATTTTCAGCCAGATAAAAGCTATCATCATACTGGTAACTATATTTTTTTAGAAAACATCAAAAAATATCAATGAAAAAAGTTATGAATGCATTGAGAAATCGGACCTTAATGTAATTAAATTTGTGCAAGGAATAAAGAAAACTTGATTGAATCGAATACAAAAACGAATACATAATTAATTTGATTTTTATTTCATTTGATCAAGCACTATGATTATTTTAAGAGAATATATTTTATTTAGGGCTTATATTTTTCTCACTGTAGCAGCGGCTACGTGTTACTCATAGACTGGTCTTAGCCAAGCTCGAGGTGCTGCCAACTAACTAACTAATGAGCTGATTTACAGCCCAACACGTCCAGGACAAAGGCCAAGGACTGCAGTTTGCCAAAAGGTGAATGGCTGGGAAGTGAGAACCGAGAACCGGGAATCGGAATCCAGGGATCGGGAATCGGGATTCGAGGTGGAGCGAGGTCGTATGACAAATGCGCTTTTGTGTTATTTATGGTGACCGCAGGACAAGATGTTCTACGTGCGGTCATTAGGCCTGTAGGCGTTACTGCCTCGCGCTACAAAGGTAATTTATACTGGTTATCGATGTTCTTCAACCCACTTTGAAATGCTGCGTGAAATAAAAGTTTTCAAAATGTTATTACAAGTCTTAAAATCATTCTGTATCTTTCACCACTTAGAAAGTCTACTTTCAGCAAATGCCAAACATACAATGTTCTTGCTAAAATATTATTTTTTGCAATAATTTAAAATGCAATACTCTGGAAACCCATTATTGATTAGGTAAATAATACGAATTAAGAAAAATTAAAAAAAAATCATTATTATTTTGCTTCTTTCATCCAGAAGTTATGCTAACTTATTATTCTATTTGCATTTGGCTCCTCTGCGATTATCCCTAATTAGACTGTGATATATATATACATTTTCCAGCCAATCAGGCGAAGGACAAACGGAATCCTGGCGGACTAAGCCCAACTGACAAATTGTAATTGTGTGACAAACAAGCGGAAATCGGCTTAAACTTGCCTTGCCACAAAGGAAATCCGCAGAAGGTGGCAACGGATGGTTTGGGGCATGACTTCCTTTATTGAGTTATTAGCCGCACATCGTGGCAGCTCGCTTTTAGGCCATGTAGCAAGTCAATTTGTCAGCGGCTAAAAGTTTCATCAGTCGCGCTTAGTCATGATGGCTAATAAAGTGCAGACGGATTTTTTTCGGGAGAAAGCATCAGTCTATTGACAACCGATGGAAATGCTAATTTTCATTTGATAGCAATGACAGAACAAAATTTTGGCCAGTTTTTTGTGAGATGTTTGAGTCCCGTTTACGTTAAATTCCAATTTTTACTCGCTTGATTTAAATTCACTTTTTACAGATTTTGTTTTTCACCTATCCTGACAACAATGGGGTTCATTTTGCCTAGACATTTGTTGAAAGATTCCGAACATCTTCAAACATATCAATGCTCCGTTTGCATGGAAAACACAAATGTTTCCCGTATAATAAGCCCTCATCGAGTGCCGGAAAAAGTGAAATAAAAAATGTTCTACTTGCTAGGTGCTAAAGGGCACTTATGCGTAACATTGCGTAAGTGCAGCTGTCAGATAAAACGAGGGGGTGCATCGGGTTCGGGGGGAAAATGCAGCAAAGTGCATGCCAGCTTGAGTGTGAAAATTGCTGGAAAAATGAATGCATGCTAACGGGGAGTCAGTTTTGATTCCATTCCATTTTCGCCTTGACTGGGAAAATGGGAATGCGACGTCAGCCTGCGGTTTGTTCAACCCTCACAATACGTGATGTTATTACGACTGTTGCCTTGCCCCACGAAAAAAGGGTCTACAAATCTGCGTCCGTTAAACTTTCGATTCTCATCTTTAATCTTGTTTTATTGCCCGAACGGAATTTTTTTCACATGCATTGTTTTCTTTCGTAAACTTTAATATCCCAAGTATAAATCTCCACAGACGGGCCATAGAGAAACTTTCTCGATAGTATTCCCCAAACTAGTTTACCTCATTTGGGCAGTCCTTAGCACAGAGACTAGACTGCAAGGCATACTTAAGCAAAGTCCCAGACAAACTGCAGAAAGAATTGTGAATATATCTACACAGGAAAACAGGGACCAAACTTTCCATTTTCAATTTGCTGCAGACTTTGGCTAAGTACCAGGGAAGCAGGTCCAACATTTCCGTCCGAGTCTTTACCTTTTTTTATTTTGTGCAGCTCTGTCTACTTTAACTCGCATTGAACTGGAAGAATAACATTGAACAGCAAACAATCAGCAGTCAAAAATTTCATTGTTAAGGCAGCAGCGGGAAAAAATAGGAA